TATGACGTCATTGGCAGGCGACACAATGACACTATAGACACGGTCCGTGTCACTAGTTAAAATTGCTTATTTCTCTGGATTTAAACATTCTTCGAAACATTTGGGATAATGTAAGTACACAAGTCAGCAAAATATATAACACTGTTCTAGTGGTTTTTGGATATTTTTTTACATATTGCACCTTTAAAGGATTACTGTTAACACAAACAGAAAAAAGAGACATGACTATAGATGTTGATTGAGAGCTGACGTATGTAATTTCTGCACCACTGCGCAGAACTGTAAAAACAAACACTGCTTTCAAAACAGCTTTCTGAATATGCCACCAGTCAGTCATTGATTGAAGAAAAAATAAATAAACAGGCCCACCCTCAGCTCACCTATATGAATGGTTTACTTATAGTTCTCCCTGCACACCAAACTGGGATAGGAGAAAGCATCTAAACACCAAAAAAGTCACATACTTAAAGTTGTTTCAACCTTTAATATTCTTTTAAAATAAAGTGTTTGATGTAAGTAGCATGTCTTTTGCAAGATAAACATTATTTTATTTAGTGAGCCGTGACACAAACACGCCAAATGGGAGAGAACTGTTGAATAGATCCACTGTTTGTGTGTGTATTTGCATACTCACATCTGTGTCTGGCCCTTTATCAGCTCCAGGGCATGAGAATGTGACAAATTCATGGCAACGTTTATGGACCACAAAACAGCACACTGACAGAGAGAAAAAGAGAGAGATGTGTTACATTTACAAAATCCCACATAACTGTAAAATACTGGTAGATAAAAAATATATGAGAAAACAGTTCAAACCAAGTGTCCTAAAAATTGTTAACAAACTCTGTTACTCTTCCTGCTCTGTGTGTATATGTGTATTCTATACTGCAGCAGAGCTGAGGAAGATAATGCTAATAAATCAGTAATTTAATAATGTACAAGTGTAAATTAGTGGACTACACTCAAACAAAAAACATACTCAGTGTGAAATCAACACCAGTATCATATTTCAAAGAGATAAATTATTACATTATATATAACAGGTTACATATTCTGTAGGCAGTGGCACAAAAAATGGGGTATGCAGTATATGCGGTGCATAGGGGTGCCGCACTTAAGGGGACGCCATTTTGCCGAAATTATTCTGCCGAAAAACTTTTTCAATAAAACGTTATAAATAATCAAGAGCTTAGTTGTTAAAGTTAATGTAATGAACATTTTTTTTAATTTTAATTAGTTAAAAAATTTTTTTATTATAAACTGAGTATATATCAACCGCTCACCATTCGACACATTGTCACAGATGTGGTCACATGACCAAAATGAAAGGAGGGAAACGTTCTGGGGCGCAGGACAGAAAAGACAAGGGATATCAAAAACAATGCATTAAAATGAGGACAGCAATGTCCAAGTGAACTAACAGAAATTGTTAAGCTTACCCTATTATTTTTTTCATTGTAAGTCATGAAGTCATTCAACATTTAACATTGTTGTCTAAGAGGACAAAGTGATTAACGTTAATATCAGTTCATTTCTGAGTAGCTCTATTGCTCAAAACAAATAAATAAATAAAAAAAGTCATGACATGTTTGTGAATGGGCGTTTGATTTACATTTAAGAGGAACTGAGAAGATTGTTAAGGATAAAAATTATCCACCTTTCGCCAAAAATTGCCGTTTTGAATTCAAAATAGGTAATTTGTGTGCAAAGACTTTTTTTTTGTGTGATTCAATTAGATATGAGTTTTTTGAAAATTCTTGTTACTTCATACTTCAGTACAAAACAATGCTGAACTTTGAAAAAAATGATGTTTTAAATGTTATAATAGTGATTTTATAATGTCTAAATATGAATTCAAACATAAAACGTGAAAAGAGCTATATTATATATATATTGTAAATCCCTCCAAAATTACCTAATTTTAAAATTAACATACTTTTTTTTTTCTTTTTTCACTCTTCACCTTTTTCCCCTATGGTATTGAAAATGGGGGAGGGGTTTAAACCTTTGTCCCTTTTTTCACCCCTGATGAGACTGTATCTTTCCATGCACAAGCTAGTTCATGGTCTTTTGATTTGACATTGATTTGCTGAAAGTTTTCTGCGGGAGTTAGTGTTAGGGGCTAGAATGCAGGGGGGCGCCAACACTGATCTTGCATACCCCTCAGCAAACATGCAGTTGCGCCCCTGTCTCTGGAAGGTTCTATTATATCCATTGTACAGAGAAAGACATCACAGACATACCATTGGACATACATGAATGAAAAAAAATAAATCTTATATTTATTTATTAAGCTTTTAGAAATGTATTTTTTGTATTCATGTTTGTTTCTCATGTTGGCAATATGACTAAAATCTTACATCAGGATACGAGTCATTTACTGTATTTAATGATAATGTTATTACAATATAATAATTTTTCTGGAATAAAGGGTAGATATGAGACCAATTTGTTAATTTTCACAGCAAAAACAAACAGCCTAACTGATTTAAATACTAAGTAGCAGGAAGTTCTGAAGCTTACTGAAGACAAGTAGACAGTCTTAATTACTAATTATAAGCAATAGAATGAATAAATACAATATATCAAAGATATAAATAAAATAATCAGTTTATGTTTATCAGGTTGGTTTATACCAGGGGTAGGCAAGTTCGGTCCTAGAGAGCCGCAGTACTGCAGAGTTCAGCTCCAACCCTGAAAAAAATTCTCCTGCCTATAGCCTTAGTAATCCTGAAGACATTGATTAGCTTGTTCAGGTGTGTTTGATTAGGGTTGGAGCTGAACTCTGCAGGAATGCGGCTCTCTAGGACCGAACTTGCCTACCCCTGGTTTATACCAACAGAAATGTATCAAATGTAAAATAAAACACTGCATAGTCCCCACTGTATAATTAATATACTTATTAAAGTCACAATACATATTCAGCAGTGTGACATTCTCTTTTATTGTTTGTTTAACATTATTAACATGTGACATAGCAGCAGGTTTATTATGCTTTATCACTTTAAGACCTAATACATAGATACAGTATATTGAAACAAATACAATTTTTCCACAAAATTATCTAATTTTGTGAATATCTGGCTGTTCAATCCCAGCAATCCATGAAAGAGAATAGGGTACAGGGTCACTCTGCAAAAAAATCCCCTTTTTTCTCTTATTGGGTTTGAACCATTAAAATTCATACTGTCCCTGGATCTACTGGGAAGAAAACTAAGTTATTAATATTTTAAGAGTCCTTCTTTTCTATTTAATGTATTGTTTAATGACCACAGAGCTATTGAATGTTTGATTTTGATTAGTTGATGAATATTTTAAGGGTGTGCAATTATTATTCAGTAAACATACAGCTATGAAGTAGTTCTAGATCTTTTGACCGCATTACACTTATATCACTTAGCAAAATCATTTCAGTTATTTCAAAGGCCACTTAAAGAAACTGACCAAGCTAACAAATAAGATAGGATAAAAATAAAAAAATGTTCTTACTAAGTTTTATTATGTAAAGCCTGTTCTATCTGTTCTGCTCTTCTGTCTCTGCATACACATACAGACACTCACGCACACACAGAGGGACACATAGAAACTTGTTATCAGTGCTGACCTTTGACTTATCAATAAAACAGTTGGTAACACTAAAAGACTAGTCCACTTTAGACATTCTATTAACAGTAAGTAACTTTGCAACTACATGTCAACTAGCAGTTAGTAGAGTATTAGTAGACTGTCTGCTTAATATCTTCTAACACTTTCTTTGTCAACTTATTCTACTAACCCTAAACCTACCCTAACAGTCTACTCTGAGAGTTAGTAGACATGTAGTTGCAAATGAATGAGAATTAGTTGACATGTAGTTGACATGTAGTTACAAAGTTACTTATAGTTAATATAATGTCTAAAGTGGACTATCGAAATAAAGTGTAACCAAACTGTTTAACAATTAAAACAACATTTCTCAGTAGCGAGTTTGTAATGTCACTGTTTTTTAAGTAGTTAAACTTGCAAGTTTGATATTAGTAGAGACCAGGGTAGGAAATAAAAAGGGCTTGAGGCAAACAAGCCACCAACATGATCAAATATACAAAGAAATGCCCCAGTACAATTAAACTATTTATTAACACTCTGATCTGATGAACATGTCTGTTTCCATTTGTCTGTGTCTGTTGGTGCAGTGTGAACTGGCCTATAAACAACAAAGTGCATATACAATGTAACGCTATTGATACATGATCTGCTTGGTCTTGTTTCAGGATGATGCATAGCATTTGAAGCCTTTCATATTTGCATGATGGTGGCAGGCTGAAAGGTGCTGTTATTTTCTTTGTTTTTACAAAACATTTACTTCTGTCAGGACCACTATCGTCAAATAGGATTGACAAATAGCATACAGTTTGGATTGGCGGTATGGTTCCTGACTGACAGAGGAGGAGCTGGGGATGGAGAAGGGTAATTAGCTATTGAGCAATGCGAAAACTGCTGATAATACTGAGGGACCTTATATATGAATGCTTAGATAGGTGTCGTATTCCCATAGGTAGATGGGGATAAGCTGAGAGTCAGCAGATGCGAGCTTGTCTAACGTGACCTGCCAGAACTAACGCTACGCTTGATTTATAGCATAATACTGGTGTTATACTTTTAGTCATTCTGATTTGAATTGCTTTAATTTTTGAGTTGACCTCTAAAATGTAATGTCTACATTTTGGCTAAGAAATAGTTAGCATTTTTTCCCTTTTTAAAAAAAATATTATTCTGAACATGGCTCATGTTAAAGACACGTTTTTACCTTCGTATTTATTTGCCTTCATGCATCGTTTTCTGCAAAGATATTTAACCAGTGGTGTATTACGTACTTAAGTATTGAAAGTAAAAGTACAAGTAAATGCAAAATGGAAAAGAAGCATATATATATATATATAATGTTCATACTCAGCTTGAGTAGCATGATTGTGTTCAGTTTTAACTCTTCCTTCCATTTTGTATTTTTGGGTAAGAATAAGAAGCACTTCATCCGGTACTTCATCCGGTACTTAGTGTCTTTCATTCCAACATAAGAAATAGCATTTAGATGTATTTACACAGTTTAATATATCTCAGAGGGGACATGGATGCATTTAAAATGGAGATTTACCGCTGATTACAGAACCGGCTTTTCTGACAAGATGCGCGTTAAATATCGCATGCGATTTATCGTGCAGCCCTAGTACAGATACTTCTAAAAAATACTTAAGTACTGTAACGAAGTATTATTACTTCGTTACATTACACCACTGTATTTAACAAGTTCATTTGTTTTACATATACACCATGCTAACCGCTGTCATGTGTGGTGAATTTTCTTTAAGTTTTAATAAAGAGAATTTTACTTGAATCATTTATGTTGACTAGTTTTTTTTTTTTTTTCCAAGGAATGGCGATATGGCAAAATATATATAAATATATAACAGTAATTAACAAATGTGTATATGTGTCACCATATCATCCAGCCCTAACTGAAAGAGAAAATAAATGTGAAAAAAGACATTAAAAGTGAAATGTAAGGGACGCATACACTTTTGCAGGAACAAGTCAGATATCTGGCAGCTCAGTGGGTAGCATTGTCACCTCAGTAGGGTTTCCCCATAATTCAAAGACATGCAGGTCAAGTGAAATGAGACACTAAAATTGCCCGTGGGTGTGAGTGTGAAAGTGTGTATGTCTGTGTTAGCCCTGTGATAGACTGGCCATCTGTCCAGGGTGTTTCCCTGCCTATGGCTCTAGCATCCTACAGAGGGCAATCGTTTTGAAGAATAGATTGATGGATGTCAAACATTGGCTACACACCAAAACGGAGAGGAAAGTATAGGCCCTACAGTTGGTGTTGCATAAGAATATCTAAAAAATTAAGCATTACAAAATTGCTGTCAGAGAATTAGACATAAATGTCACAATAACTGTGATGTCTCATTCTGATATGACCGTTATGGCAGTCAAAAGCTGAGGGAATAATAACGCAAATAGTCATATTTCAAATCACTGCTGATCTCAACCACATTCACATCAGAACATAAAAATAAATATCCTGCTCCCCTCCACATCATGAAAGGCAATAATGAAATAACACTTGCATTTTCTATTTCCTGTTGTGTGGGCTGCTCTCTGGCTCTGTCTCAGTGGACCTGAACCACTGTACAGATGGAACCTGCATAGATGTGTCTATGTGCCAAAACGATCAGACGTAAGTGATAAATACAGAAATGGAATAATGAAACCCTTATGCATAAAAAAATGGTTGTCACATCTTTACAGGTATTACTTCTGAGTGCACATTTAAAGGGTTAGTTTGCCCCAAAATGAAAATTAGGCTGCGTTTTACTCACCCCCGATGCATCCTAGGTGTACATGACTTTCTTCTTTCAGACGAATCCAGTCGGAGTTATATTAAAAATTGTCTTTGATCTTTCAAGCTCAACAATTTTTTACTGCAAGCCCCTTTCAAAATTCTTTTTTATTCACATTTGCTTCAACAGCAAAAGAAAACATGTACATTTCACATTTCTACATCTTCTAAAAGAGAGGGAAATGGTAGTTAACAAAGAAATGTTATCTTATATGTAAAGCATTAGATAATGTTTTATTATCCTTTGTTAACAACTTTTTTAACCATACCTAACTCATGTACAGTTTTTAAACTAGCATTAAAGGAGTTGTTAAAGGGTTAGTTCACCCAAAAATGAAAATTAGCCTATGTTTTACTTACCCTCAAAGCATCCTAGGTGTATTTGACTTTCTTCTTTCAGATGAATCCAATCAGAGTTATATTAAAAATTTTTCCTTGCTCTTCCAAGCGTTTGAATGGGAGTAAACGGGGCAGGGCCATCTGGCTATATAAGCGGGCATTTCGCCATAGGATCTCAGATCAATTCTCCTTCAGTGATGACGATCTTCCTTCGTTGACTTTCAGGACTTGAAGACGCTCGCCGTAGAAAAGCCTCGCTGCGGATAGAAGCTGCCATCTCTTCTGCACCCTCTCGCCGCTCCGCCTGCTCTTCGAGCTGCTCAACGACCAGCGCAGACACCAGCTCGTCCCCTGCTGCCATCCGGCGAGCCTAAATAAGCACATTTCTCACTAAAAGAGCACCGGCGTTGTTTCAAATGCCGCACCGTTATTGCACGTCGTGCAGTATTGCAATGCACGATGGTGACGGCCACCCAGAGTGCATTTCCTGCTTGGGCAAGCCCCACGCGGAAGCCGCTCTGACCGAGATGGATTGTTCACATTGTGTCAACATGAGTCTCACCACTCTGCGCGCTCGGATCGCTTTCTTTTTAGAGAGCGAATCCTCCCTTGGCGCCCTCCCGTTTTCTTCCTCCCAGGGATCTGTGAGGAAAAAACAGCGGGGCGAAGGGACTAAGCGCTTGGCCACGAGCGAGCTCGCGCCAGCCCAGAACCTGTGCACCTCGCCCCCGCCAAGCAGAGGATTCTCTCGTTCTCTTTCAGCACGCAGACCAGCATCCCTCGGCTGATGCGAGCAACATGGTCTTGTTCGGTCCCGTAGAGAATGAGCTATTAGATGACAGCATGTCTCTAATAGTATCAGACGCAGAGGAGATGTCAGGCTCTGTTGCTGACCCCGCCCCTTCATCGTCTGCCGAGCCCAGTGACTCTAAGCCAGGTATGGATGGCGAACTTTTCCACATCCTCTCTAAGGCAGAACTGGGATTGGAGTGGTCTACGCCAGAGGAGCCCACTCGTAGCCATCTGGATGAATGGTTCCTGCCGGGGTGAAGAAAAGGGTTACGAAAGGATGCCCACCCACTGCCCTTGGATGGAAAGCGAAGGTCGCTCACTCCTCCAAACCTTGCAGGACGACTTCTGCCCTCGCTGGACAAGCGTATTCCTCCGCCGGGCTGGCCGCCTCAGATCTACACTCCATGGCTGTGCTCCAGGTCTTTCAGGCCAAACTCTTCCAGGCCATGGATGAGCCAGGACCTGATGCCACATCTTTCAAGGAGCTGCGCAGCACTACAGACAGCTCTGCAACGGCCACCAGTCACCCCAAGCCTGCTCCAGCACAGCAGCCAGCTAAAGTCCCCGCACCGCGACTCACCAACCGAATTAATCCAACCCCTTGTCACATGGGCCGAGGCCTGGCGGGCCATCCCCGGAGTTTCTCATTGGGTTCTGGGGATTATAGAACGAGGTTATTCACTTCAATACGCTCGAAGACCCCCGTGGTTCAACGGCGTGGTCTCCACCTCAGTGCACAGCAGGAACGCTCACGTTCTGCAAGCCGAGGTAAAGAATTTGCTGGCAAAAGGAGCCGTAAAAACAGTTCCACCAGCTCAGAGCGAGTCAGGCTTCTACAGCCGTTACTTCCTCGTCCCCAAAAAGGATGGCGGCCTGCGGCCCATCCTCGATCTCAGACGCCTGAACCGTGCCCTCATGAAACGGCCATTCAGAATGACTACACTGAAGCAGATTCTCTCGCAAATCCGCCCAGGGGACTGGTTCTTTTCACTGGATCTCACATCCAGATAGCCCTCCATCACAGACGATTCTTGAGATTTGCCTTCGAGGGAGTGGCTTATCAATACATGGTCCTGCCCTTCAGGCTGTCTCTGGCTCCCCGCACTTTTACGAAGTGCATGGACGTGGCACTTTCCCCTCTGAGACAGATGGGAATCTGTATCCTGAATTACCTCGATGACTGGCTCGTTTTAGCAGTCGGAGGCAGAGCTAATAGCCCACAGGTCCCTCCTCCTCAGCCACTTAGAGCAACTGGGACTCAGGATCAATTTTGCCAAGAGCTCTCTGTCCCCCAGCCAGCGAACTTCGTTCCTGGGGGCAGTTTTCGACTCAGTCCACATGAGGGCGATAGTCACGCCAGACCGTGCACTGGCCATACAGCAGCTCCTTCAGAATTGGAGCTTCCTACTCTCTCAAAAAGTTTCAAAAGATGTTGGGCCTCATGGTCTCTGTGTGGCGTCATGGACGCATCCGCATCAAGGTGGACCAGGCCTGTGTGACGGCCCTGGCCCCCTGGAAGGACCAACAGTGGTTCAAGCAGGGCGTGACTATGGGATTGGTTTACAGAAGGAAAGTTGTCTCGACAGACGCATCCAACACAGGTTGGGGAGCTCTGTGCGAAGGCAGGCCGACCTTCGGCTCCTGGACGAACACGGAAGGCCAGCTACACATCAACTGCCTCGAATTGACGGCAGTATGTCGAGCTCTTCAGGGAACCAAGGAGCAAACAAGTCTCCTCAGAGGAGTGGATGCTCCACCCACAGACGGTTCAGAAAATCTGGGAGATCTTTGGCAAGGCAGAGGTCGACCTCTTCGCATCAAAAGACAACTCTCACTGCCAAACTTATTTTTCAAAGAATGAGGACGCGTTGGCCCACGGATGGCCCAACCTCCTCCTGTATGCTTTTCCCCCGATCGCCCTGATCTCCCAGGTAATCAGGCGAGTCAGGAAGCACAGGCACAGAGTGCTTCTGGTGGCCCCGCTCTGGAAGAACCATCTCTGGATCTCAGAGCTGTCTCAGCTGCTGACGGCAGCTCAGTGGCCCATTCCCCTGAGGCAGGACCTCCTCTCTCAGGCGAACCGAACAATCTGGCACCCCTAGCCCGAGCTGTGGGCACTGCACCTATGGGCTCTCAACGGGAATCAGTAGATCTCCCAGAGAGCGTCCGAGTACGATCTCACAGGCTAGAGCCCTGTCTACGAGACACCTCTACGCCCTTCAGTGGTCGACTTTCTCTGCCTGGTGCGAAACCCGCGGCGAGGACCCAATAACATGTGACATATCGGTGATATTGTCTTACTTACAAGAGCTGTTGGACAAGAGCCACTCCCCTTCCACTCTCAAAGTCTATGTGGCAGCTATAGCAGCTTCTCACGCTCCTATAGCCGGACAATCGGTGGGCCGGAACAACCTTGTTGTCCGTTTCCTGAGGGGATCCAGGAGGCTCCATCTGCCCCGTTCTCATGTTCCTATAGCCGGACAGTCGGTGGGCCGGAACAACCTTGTTGTCCGTTTCCTGAGGGGGTCCAGGAGGCTCCATCCACCCCGGCCCCTCACGGTCCCTACATGGGATCTACCCACGGTCCTGAGAGCCCTCAAAGGCTCCCCCTTTTAGCCACTCCAGTCTGCGAGCTTAAAAACACTGTCGCTGAAGACCGCTCTGCTGCTGGCGCTAGCATCGGTTAAGCGAGTAGGTGACTTGCAGACTCTCTCGGTAAGCCCTGTCTGTCTGGAGTTTTGGCCCAACGACTCCAAAGTCGTCCTAAAGCCAAGACATGGGTATGTCCCTAAAGTGCTCTACGTGCTCTAACATTCCACCCCCTTCAGGCAGTCGGAACAACTCTTCGTATGCTTTGGCGGCCGCACCAAAGGGTCCCCAGTCACAAAGCAGAGGATCTCTCGATGGTTAGTTGACGCTATCACACTAGCCTACTCCTCCCTGGGCCTTCAGAGTCCCATAGGAGTGAGAGCCCATTCCACTCGAGGCGTTGCCTCTTCCTGGGCGTGGTCTAGTGGTGTGTCCATAGCAGACATCTGTGCGGCGGCCGGCTGGGCCTCGCCGTCCACCTTTGCCAGGTTCTATATCTTGGATGTTCGTCACTAATCACCGGTGCATGCACGACACATACGTCCCACGTCATCCGCAGTAACGAAGTCTTGATTTTGTTTTGGGGGTGTACTAGAACATGCTCTCATGCTTGGTGGTTCGAAAAACGCATTATTTTTCACATAATTTTCGGAAGGTCCACCTTCCGAAAAACAAAATGTGTTGTGATTGGTTAGCTGTCCCAGTGCGTTGTGATGGGCGAACAGCTTAGACGGTGTTTCAGTACTGCCACGCCCCTTGCTCCGTCTTTCAACAAAAATTATAAGGGGTTATATGGGGTTATAATGCTCAGGGACAGAGTTAAAAAATAACTCCCCACCTCCCAACCATTCGAATTTCTGTAGGCGGGAATTCTTTGTAATGATATTCCAATGAGCCGCTTTGTGATATCATAAAGCCCGGAAAACAAACACTGTAGTCCAAACGAGCCGTTCGTTGTAGTTCTTGAAAAGGGATTTTTTTAAAAACGAAATACCTCCCTTTGGAGTGGACTTTGAGATTTGTAACTTTCTAGATCTTTTTTATGCCCAAACATACACACTACACACTGACTAAAATTTAAAAAGTGAAAAAGCATAATAGGACCCCTTTAAAAAAACGATTAGCTACAGGAGGCTTTTATAAGGGATGCTGATAAACCGTCAATGGATAGAGGTAAGTCTGCTGTAGTTATACCTCTTGGTGTTGATTAACTTGAGAGCGCTTCTCTTGTGTTAATTAGGCTAAGTATCTGATGTGCTCCTCCCGAACTTTGTTAATAAAACATCATTAAATGTATAAAAAAAAGATAAAAAAAGATGGCATTAAACAAATATTAAAAAATACTTTATGTTGTTTCTATATTCATTTGAAGATTGAAAGTGAAATTATTGCAATGTAAAAGTACATTGAAAAACTTTAACATTAGGTGGAATTGCGATTAATATCTTAATTTCTCGATTGACAGCACTAATATACAAGGCACACCTGTGCAATAATCATGCTGTCTAATCAGCATCTTGATATGCCACACCTGTGAGGTGGATGGATTATCTCGGCAAAGGAGAAGTGCTCACTAACACAGATTTAGACAGATTTGTGAACAATATTTGAGAGAAATAGGCCTTTTGTGCACATAGAAAAAGTCTTAGATCTTTGAGTTCAGCTCATGAAAAATGTGGGCAAAAACAAAAGTGTATATATATATATAATGTTTAAGCCATTCATATACCCTTTCTCAGTCTTATATTCATTTGTTCGGACACGTCATGTAACAAACAAAAATCTCAGATGTGGCATGTTTAAATATGGATATTTTTCTTACAAAAACGCATCAATGCGCTACAGGAGACCTTTATTCACCCCCCGAGGCCATGTGAGGCACATTTTATTAAGAATGCATGCGCTTTATTTGATTACTTTTGGACTGTTGAAAAAAAAACCCACCTGCTTACTCCCATTCAAACGCTTGGAAGAGCAAGG